TATGGTCTTCGATTTAGACCATGAACCATCTTAAAAGAGTAATTATGGTTACATCTGGATTTATTACTTTGATTGTAATTATTGTTGTTGTCATAGTGTGGGACACTTGGCACTCCATTAATCAATTGGAGAAGTTATAAGAGAAGTTATGAAGATTGAAGGGATGGAGGACAAGTGGCAAACCAAGAATGAAGATGGAGAATGTAGGAGGTTATTGGTGGTTATTTCTCGCATTTTCTACAAATAGCCTCTCATGGTTAATGTAAAAGGGACATTATCAACAGCCAGCACATCAACTTAGCATAGTTTAGTTTAGTTAGGAGTAGTTCATCTTAGTAGTAGTTTCTTTTAAGGGCAAATTGCATCAGTAGTCCCTGTATTTTGCCCTTTATGTCATTTTGGTCACTATAATTTCAATTAGCTCAATTTTGACCCTTAATTTTAGATATTGTATCAATTTAGTCCAATTGATAACACTGATTAGGGTTTTTAAAGAAAAATAATTATTGAATTGTTTGAGATTAACTCACTGTGTTGAACAAGTTTATAATTTTGTCTATAAAAGCATAACATGCCTCTTATGTGCCCATTTTCCATAAATAAAAAAAAAAAAACCAATAACAATTGTAATCAATTGGACCAAATTGAGACAATCATAAATCCAAGGTCAGAATTGAGTCTATTGAGAAGGACCAAACTATAGGGAATACTATAATTTGCCCTTCTTTTAATCTTGTAATTTCAGTTCTTCACTTGTAAATTTTAGAAGTTTTAATAAAATTTTTCTTTTTTTTACTCGTGTACTATATTAATTCCAAAGAAGCCCTTGAATCTTTCAAGGCAAGCTGCCAAAACACAATTGGTTGATTGTTTGGTAAAATTGTTGTTAAGCCTATGTCGATTGGGCTTTAACAGAAATTTCATACTGTGTTAAACAAAAAATAAATAGGGATTTTCAGTGTACCTCCTATGCTAAATAATCCCACAAAAATATCATCTTGCTTGATTACGGGGTTCCTCACCAGTATGCAAATCCTACACGTAGAGACTACAAGAACCTCTTTGAAGTTCCATACTCAAAATTCTAAGGCTCTTAGATGGTGGTCTTTAGAAATATAGACCAAGAGAGAGGATTTCACCCAAGAACTACACAAGCCACTCTCACTCACTTCTCATTTCTCTCAACTGTCTTCTGTTTTTTCTTCAATCGATTGAGTGGGAAAGGCCTCTATATATAGCTAACACAACATATACATGGCCAAAGGTAAAAGACAATACTATGCAAAGACATTATTACCTTTGATTTGACAAAACTACACCTCGTGTTGAGCGTAGGCAATGAGATAATCATTGTGTAGTCAGCCCTATGCATGGGTGACTAACCAACAGGAATTGATTTGCTGCAGGTAACCTTGTCTTGCGGCTATGCCTTAAGCCACGACCACATGGCTCTAGTTGCTTGGGTTTAATCCGCCAAGTTGTTTTCCTAATGGGTTTGGGAATAGTTTTTCTTCTCCAGTGTAGGTTTGGGAAGGTTACCCTATCTCAAAACCTGATTCTCTGCCATTCCTATTGTGGAGAAGTAGGTTTGGAAATATTCTTAAATCCTGAAGGACGTTCCTGATCCTCTGATTGCCACCTGAAAGAGGGATTAACACTGCCCCCCAAACATCCTACTAACGCCAGTTAGTCGGTGTGTTTGGTTTCTAACTTGAAAGGTCAAAAAAAATACGGCGGTTAACCTCATTCCAACGCATGTGTCAGAATGCATACGCTTTTTAGGCATCATTACAATTTCCCGCCCCTTCGTACGTTTTCTTCATTTAATGTGATTTGAAACTATGTTGTGCCTTTGAATGTATGTTTTTGAATACACAAAGTTTTTGGTTTGCCTTTCAGTATACCTCCTTCATTTCGTGACCTTTGCAACTTCCTCCCGTTTCTCATTGTCTTCTCCATTTCTTGTAAGTTCTCTTCTCCTCCATTTCGAATCCCATTTCCTTGTTTGTTTTTAGTTTAGCATACTCCCTAAATTGGCTAGGATGGCAAAACACTTGAAAGCCCTTCTTTCTGTGAATCGAGTTTCTGGTTTTCAACGCCATTTTGCCATTCCTGACGACGTACACCTGTCACTCATGACAGAGAGCACAATTGATATAGAGAGGACTGATGAGAGTACAATTATCTTTCCTCTCCTATCAATTGCTGAGGGCGGAGTCCGTTTCCCTGTTCACCCATTTTTAAGGGCCGCCTTTCGCCACTAAGGTCTAATCCCTTCCCAACCTAATGTAAATTTTTATCGAATCATAATGGGAATTGTAGAGTTGAACCGACGCCTTAGGATCAATTTTGGTATCCCTGCTATTCGGCATTGTTATGTCTTGGCCAAATCTTCTGGCCGGCAAGGGCGCTACTTTCTCAAGGCTAAGGACACCGACCATCATTTGGTGACTATGCTTGCTAGCTTTGGCAAGCGTGTTGACGATGTCATGGTCGTTGTCCGAGGCAATTGGGAATTTGGCGAGGGCAAAGATCGCCTAGATCCTATGCTTAGACGAAAAGGCGAACCAGGTGACCGTGTAGTTCCTTACGTATATTTTCTATATATTTACCCGGCTTTCCTTCCATGCACTTATCGTTTTATTTATGCAGACAATGATTTGAAGAAAATTCTGGTTTCGGCCGATGACGCTGTGCTTGCGAAAATCGAAACCGCACTCCACAAGGCTGGCCCAAACATCCACCAAGCCACGAACCTTTTCTTTTATAGTTGGTTGAATGTCTTGTAGTTTTGCATATAACCGATGTGAGATTCAGAACCTTGTTTTCCATTAAAACAAACCATGAAGCTTATTTTTTTAGAGTTTGGAATGACTTAAGGCTCAATCGCTAACTGATGTGGGATTCATTAGACTATATCAATTTATTCAACAAGCCTATATTACTCTTAAGCATAAATTTATGAAGGGCATATGCAATTATATTAATCAGGGTTGGGATTGGGGACATGGGAGATCTGGGCGAGGTTCAATGGTTCATACCCTCTTGTATTGAATTCAAATGGGGATTCAACATTTGATACTGTCACTGGCCCCATATGAGAAAAAATGGCAAAAAACAGGTCCTACAAAGGCAGGGCAAGGTGAGGGTAAATTGAGCCTTGCTTTCAATTAAGTTTTGAAGGGTTTTTTTTTTTTTTTTGGTTTCCCTCCCTTCTTTCCAAAATATTCTATAAATATTGTTTTGATCTATGAAGCATAGGTACTTCGAAAATGTTGCCGTACTCATACCGGGTACTTACTGGGTACTGTATGCATGCTGGGTACTCGAAATACGTACCAGGTACTTTTTATACATTCTTTGGCAATTGGGTACTTCAAGGGTAAGGGATTGGTACATCAAGAGTACACCAAGTTATGAGACATTATTGGAGATACGTTTAATTTATTAGAGAGTTTTGATTTATTTGAAATTGGAAATCCTTTATTTAATCCACCAAAGATGAAAGATGTATTATTCAATGATGAAGTTAATGGAAGTGAGAACTGAAGTTTTAAGTTTTCAAATTTCACTTAGCTCTTTTGGTTTTGTAATTTCTCCTTTTAGTTTTGGTATTGAACTTTGATTTGTAAATTGAATCTCAAACTTTAAATTATAAAAAATATAAAATTTATTGACGTACCCCAGCCATACCTGTATGTTATATTTTTTAGGTCTTGCCGTATCGGCGTACCTACGTACCCGTACCAGTATCTGTACCTGCACCCGTGCTTCATAGGTTTTGATCAATACTTTCAGTGATGGGATTTTGTGTGCAGATTTTAGATCCGAATAAAGGTGTTCGTAAAGTGATTCTCATTGTAGCACTTTTTGTGACATTTTTAGCATTACATGTATGTGTGCTCTTGTCATCTGGACACTAATTCCATAAGTGCAGTTGACTTCATTATGTGTGTGTTGCATGATATACTGTTCAGTCAAATCCTTCTTTTCGAACTCTGTCTTGAGTTGATCACACAACTCAAATGAAACTAGAACTTTCATAGTGACCAAAGCAGAAAAGAAATCAGGCCTCAACTTTGTCAGTGAAAACCTCCCTCTGTTCACTTGTATGATGAGATGAGGTAAATGCCTTGAAGTTGTCAACGTTTGAGCCTAAAAACACGAGATGCACTGCATGTGTGTGCCAATGTTTGACATGCCCAGGTCCCATCTATCGACGGAAAAATAATAATGCTAGTGGTAGTAGCAGTTGGTTAAAAAGCAAGGTTGTGAGCTTGTATTTGTGGGAATCAATGAGGTGTCTCCGAACCATGTGTCTAACCATAAGTTGCATGACTGTGAACCTTAGATCCAACCACCAGGTGCTACCATGGATGAGTTTTAATTTCATACATTCTGATGTAGAATAGCATTTGTTTTTGGATCTTGCGTAAGAAAGAGAATTTTTTCCCACTGTAAATTTAACGTTTCACATAATGACATAATGATTCATATTTGATCTGTTAAATAAGGCTTAGTTAAGACAAATTTCAATCCATTGATGTTTAGGTTTTGGTAGTTTGATTTGGGATATCATTCGGACTATCTATGTGCATATGATATTTTTCTTAAGAAGTGACATTCTCCAAAACCTCATACGTGGATAGCAAAACAAAGAGAAACTTGCCTAGTTCCTGTACTTCATCAATCTTGTCGCTGTTTCTGGCTACAAATGATTATTTATTAACTTTGCTTCTTTGACCTTTTACTTTACTCCCTCTTGGTTGCTTGGTTATGGAGGAAAAAAAGGTAGCTAATAGTCATATTGGTCTGGCAAATTTATTAAAAAGAAAAAATGAAGAAATTTAAAGCTCATGATCAAGTGTTTTGGTGATCAGTTGAATCCAAAATTTAAACATTTTCATTGCCTAAATACAAGTTGTTCTTTTTTCTTTTACCCGTAGTTTATTGTCTTCTAATGACTACTGCCATATTGTATGATGACTACTCTTCTACAGATATTTTGTATGATTCTTGGTCTCCAGCAATGACTGTTAGTTCCATCTGCATCAGCATTCTCTCCATGTTGTCAAGCTCCACTGTTAAGGTTTGATTTTAGATTTCTGCAGTTTAATGCTTTGATCATGTGCAGCATTCTCTCCATGTTCTCAATGGGTTTTGGCTTATGTCCTTGTGCAGCAACGTCCTACGGACAATGATCGCTATGTGAAGAACTGTAGGAAATCTCCCAAGGAGACACGATGGTGGTTCCACGACGATAAAGTGTAGTAATATGAATGAATGATCGGTCACAAGAACTGTAGGAAATCTCCCAAGAAGATTTGCATTTCAACAGTGTTAACGGCCGTTGGGGAGTGAAACAAACATTTTAAAACAGCTTCTGCTGTGGCAGTGGCTGGGTGTATTTGTAAATTAGTGATGTTCTCTTCCCGGGAATGTATGTGAAACCCAAAGCAGGCTGGTGTTATTTATGTTAGAGCAACTTCAGCGGCGTGTTATAATAGCTGTTTAAGTTAAATTAGAGCAAGATTTCTAAAAAATTCTTCAACGATCTGCCAAAGTTTATGCCAAATTATAGCGTTGTCAAGCATTTTACCAAATTTGGCACAAAATATGACAATGCTCTCTTTCTTATGGTTGGGTTCATAAATTGGGTACTTTTGGGTTTTGTGGGCCTAATCACAAGCGCCACCTCCATGATTCAAATTGTTCATCTATCCGAATAGATCATCTATTCAAATTGTTCATTTTGAGATGGCAATAACCCTGCTAGCCTTCATTCATTCCATCCTTGAGTACATAATTATATCGGTCTCTCTTTAAGTTTTTAATTCACATAATATTTAAGTCATTTTTCATCAATAATTTGTGAGTCATATGGTTAAAAATATGATATTGTCATTTATTTTCTATTCAAATGTATATTTATCTTTGTTTATTTTAGTGTCTGTTTATCATATGTGTTAGTTTTGAATGCTTTAACCTTATTAAAGGGGAAGTCAATGTAATTATGTTAAACTTGTGAGATTAATTATATATATATATATATATATATATATATTTAACTTTAGTGATGATGGGTGTAATTTATATTATATAAAAAAAAAAATACCAAAGGTGTCAGGACATGCACGCCCATGAAGTATTTTAAATGTGTTCTGCAAAAGAATGAAACAAAAATATTGACATTCCACGTGTCCGATGTGTGGACTCGCATGTACACATAGGCCAAGTTTGGGAAGACTAAATAAGTGCACTTTTTGTCTTTTTAGACTAAAAAGTTGAGGTTGAAAATATGAATGTTTGGATTAACTTTTTGACTTTTTATGGAAAAATGTGTAATAAAAAATTGTAAAAATTAGTTTGTAGAAGAAAATTAGAATTGGGAATTGTGCAGCCGTAATTGTTGACTTTGGTGAATAGTAATGACTTTTTAACTTTTTGAGTAACTTTTTGGCTTTTTGACTTTTTTTAAACTACCCAAACTTGGCCATAGTATTTGTCTCGTGTTAGATATGGACACAAACACTAATTTTGTTCCTAGCACTATCTTAAAATTTTGTTCAGATTAAATAATTTGTGAAGGAAAAAAAAAAAGAAAAAAAAAGAAGTCAATCCAACCGAGTTTAGGCAAGAGGAAATGACAACTCCAATAATTAATTCATTAAACAGTTACTTTGTTTTATGCTAAAATAATCGAATTTGAAAAGCCAATTTAGTAACAATGCCACTAGCCTACGATGCGAGGTATTAACTGTAGAGAGTGGATTTGCCTCGTATTGATTGAAAACAAGTGAGTTTGGAATCTCCTAGAAATGTGCAAAACAAACAAGGCCGTTAAAGGCTTTCCAACGTAATTGTTGGTTGGTAATCTTTTTACATAAATGATATATCTCTATGATTTTAAAACTCTAAATAGAGCTTTAATGACTTGATAATCCAAAAAAAAAAAAACACAAAATACAAACATCACATCATTGTGAGACCTACACACCATTAAAAACACAAACATGACATCATTGTGGGACCTACACACCATTAAAACTGTCTAGACCTTCACAATTAGAACTCTCAATCTTTTTTCATCATTTTATAGATGTTGTTGCATCTCTCAGTTGTTACCCTCCTTCCCTATTTATATTACTTTCCCTTTGTCATCCCTAGTGCCGAAGTAAAAATTCGTCGTTTTTACTACGTTGGCTTAGGGGTTGTTTGGGATGTCCTAAATAAGTGTACTTTTTGACTTTTTATGAAATATGAGTTGTGTATGGGTTGGGTTTGAAGTGATGTGATAGAGAGGTGATGCGACTTAAATAAGATGATATGACTTAAATAAAATAATGACTTTTTGAATTTTTTTGAGGATGCCAAACCTGACTTTATTGTCAAGCGGCACTGCTCTAACGCTTGTTATTTCATTCAATCTGATATGTTTCATTGTGCTTCTTTATCCAATATACATGGTTTCATGTGCGCGGTCCTCTCATTCTTGGGCTAAAATGGAGGTAGGAGATTGGGCTTTTGTTCCTTGACTTAACCTTGTGTCATGTTTCCTTGGGTCAACCCAGTCTTGGCTTTTGTTCCTTGACTAAACCTTGTGGCATGTTTCCTATTGTTCTAGGAATTTTGATGAAGGTATTCAAAAATTTACATCTGAATTTATACCGCTGCATCCACTAAATTTGTCCAGTTTGAATTCGCACAAATTACACTCTTCTCGAGAAGAGTCTTATCGGGAAAAGTCTCATTCGAGCAAACCAAACCAATTCGTAAATGAATCATTAATCAAAAAAATTATACTTATTAATAACTATCATTCATTTCTAATAAATCTTTTAATTTGCTCTTTTCATATCACAAACAAAAAAATAAATTTAATATATTGATACTATTGTTTATATTTAATTCTACAATTGCTTTGTACGAGTCATATACTCAGCTTAGTCTTGATGCAGCTTGAAGGAATTTAGTGTCATGATTCAGCATAAGTACTTATATTATATATTGGGGGTGTTTGGGAAGAAAAAAAATAGCCAAATTTAGGCTAAAAATCACAACAAAACAAAATAGGCTAAAATAGCTAATAAGACAAAATATCACATCAAACCCATAATCATTTCACTTTTTCTCTCACAAACATCACATCCAACCACAAAAAAATCCAATCATCTTCCCAAACACAAAAATTTTAGCCTACTTAAAATAGCCAAAAACTAAAATAGCCTACTAAAATAGCCACTTCCCAAACGAGGCCATTATAGTAAAGAGACATTTTTAGCAAAAGTCGTATGGGAGCTTCAACATCCCATACTAAATTTGTGAATTTTTAAATTTAAAAAATAATTAAACAAAAAGAATTTTACAATTTATTATTTTTTATAATGGTTTCATGATTTAAAAAATGAAAGACGAAAAAATCCTCCTTGTATATTGACGATGCAGCACATTCCAGATGGAACGGGTCGGACTAATCCACGTTTCCTAAACTAGTGTCCGAATGACCAAGCCCATAGAGGAACCTGCACAAGAGTTCAATGGGGAACAGGGAGTTCTCCAGCGAACTTTCCGACGAGCAAGTTAGAAAGAGAGATGAAATGTAGAGATAGATTAGAGATAGAAAGCTTAACCTTCTTCTTGTCTTTGACGTCTGCTTATATCCTCTGGTAATCATTTCATTGTCCCTTCCGACCTGTCGCCATGGCAGAAAGTCTATGCTCTAACTTGCCTTGTTCGTGGTGAGGCCGTTCTATCTCGACCGGAGGGGGGTTATCGCAATAAATGCTGCGAGGGCCTTCATTAATGGCTGATGTGCAGTGTAATAACTTTGCATGATCTTTTTCTGCTTATGTGGCTTGACCTTCTCTTGCCACGTGTTTAGATGTTATTGGTTCTTAATGCCATGTTGAGCTCCAGCAACGCTGGGCTTTAGTATTTGAATTATGTACTGGCCGTAAGTGGTGGGCTATAACCTTTATGAGCTTACCCATGTCAGTAGTCTCCCATTCCCAAATGCAGCTTTAGTCCAACGAAGGGAATAATGAAGAAGACGATGGTTGTGAAAGACCGGGGGGGCGAGGACCGACTGAGAGGTGGGTCGACGGCGATGGGTGGCTGAATGAAGGGACCGACCCTGAGGAGGGGCGACTACGAAGGGTGACTGAGTGGAGGGACCGACCATGAGGAGGGCCTACCGCGAAGGGTGACCGAGTGGAGGTTCCGACCATGAGGAGGGCCGATCGCGAAGGGTGACCAAGTGGAGGGACCGACCATGAGAAGGGCCAACCGCGAGGGGTGACCGAGTGGAGGGTCCGACCATGGGGAGGCCGACCGCGAAGGGTGACTGAGTGGAGGGTCCGACCATGAGGAGGGCCGACCGCGAAGGGTGACCGAGTGGAGGGACCGACCATGAGGAGGGCCACCGCGAAGATTGAGTGGTGGTGCGCGGGGCTCGAGGGGCGACGGGGCATGTGGTGAAATGAAGTGGAATAGACAGGGAAGGGGAAAAGGGGCGTGGATCGTAGTCGTACACGTGGCAAAATCCCGTAGTGGGGAAGGTTAGGCGTTGAGCAAGAAATGAAGTAATAGGTCAATATAGGGCGTTGAAAAGACAGTTTTGGCGGATTTTTGAAAATTTTCAAACTGGCAAAATTTATTGTGACCCTTGGAATATAGACAAGCCTTGGGCTTTTGGTATTATCCGTTTTACCTATCTTTGTGCAAAGAACCAAAACATTCCAGAAGTAAACTCTTTCGTGTCGAGTGATACACCTTTGCAACACTTTGTGAACTTTCTTCTGCTTGCATCCGAAGCCATTCACAGACACACAAGAGAGATGGCCCAAGAGGAAGCAACAATCGCAAGGCATGATGCGTTAAGCGACGATGATGCGGTGGAGTTGGCGGAACAATACCGTGCGAAGCGAAGGGAAGGAGGGGTAGTTGGCGAGGCGGTACGGGCTCGCCCAAGGACAATGATTGCAGCTGCGAGACCTATTAGTCAAGTGGAGCCAGACTACTGGCACACCAAACTAGACAGATCCATACTTACGGTAGAGGAGTTAGAGGGGATAAGGAGAAAGTACCAAATTCCCTCGGAGATAGGGTTAAGGTTGCCCACATCCAAGGAAAGGGCGTCAGATGTGCGGCCGGATAAATTCAGCCTGTACGAGGAGGCGTTGCGAGGGGGTTTGAGGCTACCTCTCCCCCAAATAGTGGTGGATGTGCTAAACAAATTAGAAGCGGCACCAGGGCAGCTGATGCCGAACGCATGGAAGATAGTAGTGGCCTGCGCGGGTGCCTGGCAGTAGGTGACCGGGGGGACGACAATGACAGTAGAGGAGTTCTTCTCCTGCTACATGGCCTCCGGTCAGCAGGAGACTTGGGTGACTCTGTAAGCAGTGGCGGTGCGAGGTCTGGTGGCGGGTCTTCCATCTTTGGTGAAGGGATGAAGACCGAGATGGTTTTTTGTATTTGCGAATGGCGGAAGGGGAGTTCGTACAATGTAGAAGGTCTCCACCAAATCGGTCGAGCCCAAGTTAAACGGGGCGGCCGAAGACCGAGTGAATAGGGTGAGGGAATGGAGGGAAGAGAAGGGAGTGAG